GACATTGCCAGTGAAGCAGAAGACCCAATGCTATTATGTGCTACTGGACTCTTTTAGAATATTTTGCTGAGTTAACACACCTATAATATTCAAATAACGGAACTAAACAAAAAAAGGGGATACAGATGAATGTCCATTTTGTATCTGCGTATTCAAAATGGTTAGGATAGATATATAGTTACATTCTCTTAATGAATAGAGGGATTTGTTCTGATAGTGTTTGTAAATAGGATATCATGTCTGCATCTTGTACAGCAATTAACCACTAGGAAGAATGTATGAAATGTGTTAATTATTGAAACTGTCCTACCAATTTGGTTTGAAACTGTCTCATTGCTACTTGTTTCTCAATAAAATTATGGGAAAAATAAAATAAATAAAAATTCCGGTCTAAACATACTTAAGCTTGTTCATCATTTTTAAAAAATTAATTATTGTTAGTTACTGCTTTTCTTCCTTCATTCCTTCCTTCTTTCCCTCCTTCCTTTCTTCCTTCTATTCACCAATAAATATTGTATTAAGCAACAGGGTGTATTCTGGCATCATACTAAGCAGTAGAGATCTCTGTAATCATGGCATTTATGGTCATGTAATAAGAACAGGAAGATAGCAATTAGGATGGGCTTTACACCTAATAAGTGGTATTCTTATAAGGAGAAAAGAGCATGCAGAGACCCAGAGGACACAGGCAGAGAATGGAACTAGGTGATCACAAGCCAGGGAACACCAAGAAGCTGGAGGCAGCAAGGACAAATTCTTCCCTGGCCCAGCAGAGGAACCAGCACTTCGAGTTCAGAACTCTGGCTTCCAGAACTGTGAGAGAAAAATTTTGTTATTTCAAACCACCCCATCTGCTGCACATTCTTATAGCAGTCCTGGAAAGCTAATACAAACACACTGGCTATAAAGTATGGAACACCTACGTAGAATGATCAAGAAGACAGCTGAAGTTTAGGGGTTTGGAACTGCACCTTGGGCTGGGGATAAAACTGTAAGGAACACCAGCATACAACAGAGCAATGAAGTCACATGTGGCTGAGATCACGTGTGGCCAGTGTGTGGAAAGAGAAGAAGACAGCCTAGAACCCTGAGCAGTGCCCTCTGAGGGGAGGTACACACAAAGGAAGCCAGTGGGATGGGAAACAACCACAAAGCCAGAGAGAGACAGACAGAGACAGAGACAGAGACAGAGACAGAGACAGAGACAGAGACAGAGATAGACAGATAGAGACAGAGATGACTGAGACAGACAGATCCACAGGCTATATACAGCAGGTGGCTCAAGTTTCATAAATGCTGTGTCCACTGTATAAGGCCATTCTGAGATTACAGAGCAAGGGTAGAGTAGGTTGGAAGGAGTGCCTGAGAGACAGGAGAGTGAGTCCAGGAAGTGCAGACAACCCTTTTTAGGAGGTTGGGTGTGAACCTGAAGAAACCCACCACAGCTAGAGGCAGACCAAGGATTATGACAAGCATTTTCACATCACATACTTACTTATATCTGTTTGAATTCATTTACAACTGATTGTGCTTTTATCCAATAAGACACCTTGATGTTAAACAATGATGATAAAACAAAGAAAACAATGGTTCATCCTAATTATTGTTGGCCATAAAACAGTACTAAGTTATAGTAAAACAATTAAAACATGTTTTACATATTCAAATCTGAAAAATCTGTTTAGAATCTGTTGTTGGTAGAAGTTTTCTGCATAATTTATAAAGAGGAAAATGGGAGGCAGGATAATGTTTTGAAATGCAAAACATCTGACTCATAGTAGAGATGAGGAACGGCGAATGACCCATGAGAAAAACTTATCTTATTGTTCATATACAGGGCAGAGAAAATGCAGGCCTGAGAAGACATCAGTCATCTCCAAGTAAGACTACTTTAATGAGGGTGAGTCATTATACCACCTAGGGAAATGAATCAGGTGCCACATTGCCAATCTTCCTCATAATTACAGGTTTTTCCCCTTTTAAATTAAAACTAAAGTAAGGTAACAACTAATGTCCCTGTAGTACAAATTTAGCCAGATGGAAATAAAGCCGAAAAAGCAAGATGAAAATCTAAAAGGGAAATAGCTTTTTCAGCAATGAGAAAAAGGGAAGGAAGGAAAAGAGGAAGACAACAATTATCTTGGTGTAATGTCATGCCTGGTGGCCCACAGAAAGGACAGAGAGCTAGGGAGATAGCTCAGTGCCTTAAGTGCCTGGCTGGCAAGTACAAAGTCCTGAGTTCAATACTCAGTACCAAAATATAAAAAATTAAAACAGAAATGTTTAAAAAAAAGAAAGGATATAAAAATGCTTTCATTGTGTCCTCTAACCAGCTGCTTTCGGTATATGCCTACTATGGCGTCATTATGGTAGCTTTTCCTCAACACAGACATCTTAGATTGAGTAGCTGAGGTTCTTACAGTCTCATCTTAGGAGAATGACACCCAAGCTGCGGCCCATCCAGTGTCCATACTCAGTCAGAAGTCCTGGGAACGCCACATATTCAACATCTCTCCTTGCTCAGGTCTCCTTCCGCAGATCTAACTGTCACAGACTCACTGTACTAAGAGGCCTTGTATGGAAGGCCATGCCCTGTGTTGTAGAACACAGAAGCTTTCAGGCTGTGCTTTGCCCTGAGTGACTCCATTTTACAAAAGAGCAGTTTGCTCTTCTTCGGTGCAGATGAAGAGGTACTTGGTAACTTGTGTGTACCAGATGTCGGACAGACCAAATTTATAGAGGAAAAACAACTCCAGGCTGCACAGAATAGTCATAAGGCATAAACTGATAAATAAATCCTGCTAATAAAAAATTGCCCCTTATAAACTTACCCAGTTGTGGTAGTTGATATATTGTGTCAACTTGAGATGTTGAAAGCTTGGCTGGATCAGCTCAACTCAACTCCAGTTCACATGGGTCCCGCCTTACAGAATGGGAAGGGCCCACCCTGGGGCATGATTGGGCCTGCCCTAGGGTGTGACAGGGCCACCCCAGAGTGATTCACTACCCACCCACTTTCTTGGAGAAGTCTGGGCCTTTGTCGTGCCACTTCGCAGCTGTGCCACTTTGGAGGAGCTGGTCTTCACAGTCAGTATAGAAAGAAAAGAGAGGCTTAATGGATGCTGAAGCTGTTGCTCCTCCTCTGCTCTTCATTGTTTTCTGCCACCATGAACTGCTGCTGTTTGCCTTGGAGCCACCAGAATATGGACTGAAACCTCCATAAACTGTGAGCTAAATAAACCGTTCCTTCCTTCATTTTGGCTGTTGGTATTTTGTTCCAGCAACGAGTAAAATGCAACCAAGACACAAGTTAAATCAGAAGTTATTTTAAGTTACATCAGAAAAAAGCAGGCCCATGAGTTTACTGGACACACTAGACTAATAAATGATGCAAAGCCCTCATTTGAGCTATATAAAAAGAGAAACACCAAACACTGGGGTGTAATGGCACCACACACATCAGACCACTGGTTAGTGCATCACACGGTTGATAGGACATAAACCATGGACTGTGGTTCTTCACCCCCTTATTACAGCTTATTACAGACAGCTAAGTTAGGTAGAAACATTATAGGCAGTCAGACAGGGCTAGTCCTTGAGGGAGGCAGTTCAGAGGATGAGGATATATTGCAACTGAAGGCCAAGCCTCCAGATAAAGATGGCGTGACCAGGCCTGCATGCCTCCTGAGGGAGAGGTAGTATAGTATAACTGGTATCACCGGGTCCAATGAGGTCTACGTAGACAACAATCACCCACGTGGGTGACCAGGACCTCCTGACTCATTTCTTCCTAAAATGGTCCTGGTTCTTTCCATGTATACTTGCTAAGTGACTAGCTTTTCCACGGGACCAACACTACCTAGGCGGCCATACTTGTACTGTAATCTCATTGTTTGATCACAGTGTTGTCCCACGTTGTACCTCATGAATTTTGCACCCACCTGTGATCTTGCTCTATCCAACTTCCTCTGGAAAGTGGGGTCTGTAGCAACCCTCTTGGTCCCCTCTTGTCTCTCAAGATCTGTGTCTCCCAATAAAGTTTTCTTACTCTTAACCTCTGTTGTTCCTTAGAATTCATTCTTGGATTCTGGGGAGTGCAAACGCGGCATACTTGACATCTAGCCGGTTGGCAGTGCTATTTCCCTTGTGTCATCTGGAGCAAGCTGGATCTCTCGCTTGAGGAGGCCCACTTGAACTTCCTGCCATCCAGATTCAGGATTTGAACCAGCTCTGTGTTCTCAACAAGTTCCATGCCTCAGAAGCTCTGCCTGATCCATGATTTTGTCCAGCCACCTCTGGCAACTTCCAGCATCTCTGCAGACTCCCTGCCTTGGTTTTCAGTTCTTCCTCTCTAAATCTTGCAGACACTATTAACCCTTTAACTCATATATTATTGTGTAAAGAGTGACATGTGACTTGAGTGTTAAAGATACTAGTGTTTAAGACTGGGACAACAAAAGAAACCATGATAAATCAGCTCATTACCTCATTGGTACCAAGAGAAATCTGAATATTGAGCCTGACAGTGACAAGGCTGATAAAGTGGAGGTATCTCATGGATTTATTGCTGTTCAATACATTCTGACATTGTAGAAAGACACAAGATTGTCTGGTCTGTGCTATTAGCAAAGCCAGCTCAGGACACTCACTTCCTGCCCAGGGCCTTCAAATCAGCAGAGTACAGTGTTACTATGCTTTTAAAACTGTCAGAATGTCCCACCACAGCCAGCTCAACCTATAGGAGGTTTCATGAGAAATTTTTTTTAAAGTAGTCACTCCACAGTGTGGAATGAGCAGAGAATGAGGCAGAGAAAAGACTTGAACATGGCCTCTGCCAATCTCTGCAGAGTCACCTCTTGCCATTCTGTTACTCTGGATTTCTTTTCTTTTTTTTTAATTGAGAAAGAAGTAGCAATGAGACAGCTTCAAAACAAGTTAGTAGGACAGTTGCAATAATTAACACATTGCATATTGTTGTCTTTGTAGTAGTTATTCACAGTACAAGATGCAGACATGATATCTGTGTGTCATCCTTGTGCAGGGGCCATGCTAATCTTCTCTGTATCGTTCCAATTTTGGATTTCTTTTTTTAATGTTTTTACAATTTAATAGTTTTCTTGATGAACATAGTCATGAGAGTTGTTCAGCAGTATTCAAGTTATAGTTTTTCTGATTAATCGGTAGTCTTCAATAAGTGTAAGAAGTCACTGTATGAAACATCTGTCAAACTAGTAAGACTGCACTGATGCATCCATCATTTTCAGGATTGTTGGTTACCTGGGCATACTTACCCCAAATAACCTTGCCTCTTTGTGTCACAAGGCCCAGCTTGCTCACGTACACCTCAATCACTGTTCCTTTAGTAATAACACCCAAAGTTGTATACAGTGGTGGTTAAGGATTCTTTTTTATACCAAGTATTGGCTGGCAAAAGGTGACTTTCAGTTCTGGATATGTTACATGGGCCTTCTTAAAAGGTAAGCCCACTGGCCTAATGAATCTTACATATTTAGGTGGTTTTCTTGTGAAGCCATCTCCAACAAAGCAGATTTTAGTAACCATCTTCTTCCATGCCTTCTTTTTTCTCTTTCCAGTTCAAATAGCTTTTAATACTTCCATTTCTCCATGGGCAAGAACTTTGGGCAGAGGAACTTCCCATTTTCCTGCCTTTTCTTTCTCTTTTAATTTTTTTTGGCAGAACCAGGGATTGAACTTAGGTCCCTGCACTTGCCAGGCAAGCACTTATTCTACTGAGCTATCTCCCAGGCCCCTTCTTTTCATTTTTGTTTAATCACATGGGAAAGTACTTTTGCACGAGACTGTCCTCTGTCCAGCAGGTAGGCAGGTTCTGCTCCTTGTGGAGTCTTTTCATCATTATTTTGTTTGGTGTTTTTCTTTTCATGCATCTTGATAGTCTTCTGCATGGCACTGTTTGTGGTAGAGCATAGCCTTCAGGCCAATCTTTTTTTTTTTTTTTTGCCTTCTTTGAACATTCATGAGCCTCTTGACTTTCCTTCTTTCTCTTTTGCTCATGGTAATCCAAGTGGTACCCATAGCATTTATGGTGTAATTCAATATTTTCATTCTGTGGCATGATGACAGCTGTAGAGTCACCACAGGCAGCCTCAGCTGTGCAAAGTCCTAACTTTGAGGTCTCCCAGACGCATGAGCTGCCTCTGCACAGCCACAAACCAGAAAGCTTACTCTGGATTTCTGATGCTGGGTTTCAGCAGTTTGAACGTAGCATGTTCTCATTTGCACCTTTGGTGAACCTCCCACTGTTTAGAACCATCTTCCTTTTTTCCATCACAGAATTCCTACTCACTCTTCAGGTCTTATAATCACAGGACTTTGCAGATCCCCTCGATTAGAAAATCTTCCAACCATACACTCACCTAGCATGCACTGATAAGACTCACAGGGCTTAGTAAAATTACTCATACACAGTCAGCCTTCTCTGACTGGCTCCAGCTCTAAGCAGGTTGAGATTGTCTATTTGTTCCCCACAGTTTCACTTATGTTCAACAGTTATGTGTTGTAACAGTTAAGAGAAGGCCGGACCCTGTCTCAAAATGGAAATTAAAAAAAAAATTATGAAAGAAGCTTATCATGAAGAACAGCTGTATCAGCATTGGGGCGTGTTCTAATGGAAACGGCCTGGGGGCCATGCTAATTCCTGGCCTACCTTCACTGCTATTGGAAGAAGAGAAGAATCCCCAGAAACTCATGAGGCAGAGAGTTCTTTTCCTACCTTGGAGTGATCCAGACTGGGGCTTTTGTTTGTTAGAACACCCCTCCACTGCAATATGCTAATCCCATTTACAAAGAAAAAATATACAAGCTATATTTGGAAGACTCAAGTTGTCTCAGAAAAAAACTGCCACGCTTTCTGTCTCTCATGACTTTCACTTTCTTGTGGATATGGAAGTATTGGGTTGGGAACTAACTGTAGGACACAACTAAAACTCTTGTCTTTTTCACCAGAATAATGTGCCAGTTCTTTGTAGCAATGTAATTTCTCTTGGGAGCAGAAATGCTTTGTACCAGATCACGTCCGATCTACACTGAGCAGAACCATCCCTGTTTTCCATTTTTTATATAATTTATAAAGATTAAAGCCATGTTGACTATTTTATAGCCACTGGAGCTAACTAATCCTTCATTGTGTCTGTCTTCCCAGGAAAGAATTAAGAGGAACAGAGAGATTTGGTTCTCTGTAGATGTCTATCTATGCTGTTAGATAATTTTTGAAAAATACACCCGCCCTTTAGTTTGTAGGGGATATAAATTATTTTTATGAAGAAAATAATGAACTGTATAGTTACTTTGACCTGTTAAAAAGATGTGATCAGCAAAAAAACCAGGTAGGTGTTAGCAGATGCTCAAGAAATGATGATAGTTGATTTCCTATTGCTTTGTTTTAACGTTCGGTATCAATTTTATGTTTTTATTCTCTTTAAAATAAAATTTAAAAAGAAGTATCTGGTGACTGAATAATTAATTAAATGAATGGAGAAAAACCTGATACCTGTATTGCAGTATATTAAAAAAAAATTCTCTCAGGCTTTCACAGAGAGCACATTGGCCAAGCAATGGCCGTGACTCATCCACATGGCTGACACTCACAAAAACTTCTAATTCTGTTTCTGCCACTAACTTATTAGTTGTGTGACTTTAAGCAAACTTTATAAATATTGTGAGCCTACTTTGATCTTTAAAATGTTAGTACACTCTGTTCTGTCTACCTATACAGCTGTAATGAGGCTCAGAGGAAAAGGACAGATAGTATTTATTGAGTGCCTACCATGCCAAAATCCTATGCCAAACACTGGTGTTTACACTCTCTCAAAAGAAATAAAAAGAAATCTCTCCTATTTACAACATAATCACACCAAGTAATGCTGACAGTTAATCTTGTCAGTTGATGAGAAAAACCCAGTTCTAGCAGTCTCTGCATGGCTGGTGAGGATGCTTCCAGAGACAGTTGGCATATGGGTCAGTGAGCTGACAGGGGAAATCTGCTGTGAATCCATCATGCAACAGTATGGGGCTTAGATGGGACAAAAGTGGAAGAAAAAGGTAGGGTGCCAGCTCTCTTTCTACTGTTTCATCACCATGAGGTGAGCAGCTTCTTCCGGCACACCCTTCCACCTGGACATTACCTTACTCACAGGCTCAGAAACGTGAAACTAACTGACACTAGGTGAAGCCTCTCAAACTGGGGCCCAAAGCTTTCCTCTTCTGGATTGTTTTTCTCAGGCATTTCGTCAGAATGACGAGAAAGCAAACATCATAGCCAAATAAGAACTTCAGTCTCCATTTCTCTGGTTTTACAGACTCTGCTCTCTTTACCTCTTTCTTGAAGGATCAGTGTCCACCTGAGTACTTTTTCTAGGCATGAGACACTATTACTCATTCTGTGAAACCACCTCTGACTTTCCAAGACAGGCTTTTATGCTCCTGTCTGAGGCTTATGTTCCATTTAAAGTGATATTAAACATTAGATTTCAATTGTTTTCTGACATCCAAGTTTCTTGGGGAAAGGAGCCTGTCTTTCCATTATTGTCACCAGTATCTAGCCTGACTATTAACATTTTATGAATGAGTGTTTGCTAAATGAATAAATTTACTCTACTAGCTTTTTAGCAAATTTGAAAATATAATTAATTTTGATTTAATGTTTATAAATGCTTTATATTTTATTAATATGTACTATAAATTAAATAATAAATTGGTATATAATAGACCTATAAATTAGTATAATAATTAGGACCTCAACCACACTAACTCATATGCCTAAGGTTGCCAAAGTAGCCTTATGAACCTATGACAGCAGCTCTTACCCAATCACAGGGCTCTGATTTTCAGTAAATGTTAAAGATAAATGTTGATGTCTGGTGAATGATTACCCAAAAGAGAATCTGTCAAACCTGAGCCAAGAAAAGGATTCCATCTCCTTTTGGGTTGTATACTTTAGTTTCAACTTCTATATGACAACTTTAGAGAGTAAATGTATTGTTAATAAATAGCAAACTGCTTGGCTAGGGAAGCAGACATAGATTCACATTATTACCATATTCTAGATTATAAGTAATAGAAGAAACAAGATGCAGCTGCATGGGGCTGGGGAGATGGCTCAGTGGAATAAGCGCTTCACTGGCAAGAGCAAGGGCCTGAGTTCAATCCCCGGTTCTGGGAACAAACAAACAAGAAAAGATGCAGCTGCAAATTAATGGTCTACACCACAGCATCGGACTAGGAATATGCTCAGGAAACTAGAACAAGGCTTCAGATTTAGATGAAACTGGCTACTATATACTTAGCACTCAGATTAGAAAGAAATATTTTTAAAATGCTTTGAAGTTATGCAATATATGATCTAAATCCTTCAAGACAACAGCTTGTCAAAATGCTAATCACTAGGAAAGGAGAGATTTTAGTTAATAATACTTCCTTTCACTTGTGCTTATGTGCTTTCGAGAAGAAAATCTGAAATCTATTATTAGCTTTGTATAGTCAACTGATTATGTGTGTTAATGAAAGAGAACACAGAAGTCTGAGCTAATAGATAGAACAGGGACAAACAACGGACTTGATTGAAAGCCAAAGGAGTGGATAATGCAAAAATTACATCTTTGATTCTGGAATAGATGTTGATTCTCTGTAGCACATTTGCCTTCCTAATATAGGCCATTAACTTTCCTAAGAAAGGAGGACTGTGCTATGGAACACTCACCTACCATAAGAGTGAGAGTGCTCTCCGGCTCCTGCGAACCTCTGGCTGGAAGCTGGAACTCTGTCAGTAGCATTCACCACATACATTGATTCTAATATATGGAAATGTTTCATTCCCTTCAGACTCCAGAATACAAGACTCCCAACCTTACGCAGCACTACTGCAGAAAGGAGCTAAGGCAGTAAAGAAGAAAAACTCAGTTCTAGGGGGAAAAAGAGTCACACTATATATGATATTGACCTTTTAAAGAATAGAGACCACTAAAGCATTTGTTATTTTAAAAATTAAACCTTATATGATTAACTAAAATAAAAAGGAAAAATTAATTAGAAATTAGTATACAATATCAGAGTGGCTTTAATGTTGTTG